CTGCTATGTGTTGCTCCTTTCCTTTCACATTCTATAATCATAAAATCTATATGCTACTTCTTGGATGACATCCATTCTGATATATAATTTGCATCTTTAAAAAAGAGTAATACTATAAATAATAAGTTAATTCCCAACTATTTAATAATAATATGAAAAATCTTACTGGTCTGACGTCTCCACAGGAATTGGTAAATTGTCGAGCCAAGCCAAAATCAAGCATGTAACATTTCCTACATGTACTAGGAAAGCGACCCATGGCGAAGTTCGACTAGAAAAATAAATAAGGAAAATATATATATTACTATAATACTTAGTCCTTACATCTTATCCTTTCTACATTTGAATTCTTTTATTGAAACCCTATATAACACATCCCAAATACTCTATTCTAATTGTGGGTAGAATTGTAATATTTCCAGAATATCTTGCCTGGCTTTAGTACATCTGCATATCAATAGGAATTCAGAGGTGGAGAGAAGTATGGCTTTAGTGCATTTGTATCATTCCTCAGAGGTGGAGAGAAGTTCATCTCCATATCAATGGGTAATTACCTGGGCAACAGAGGGCTTATCTGTACCTGAGAGTTGAGGGGGAGGGCCGGTTTTGCTTCTGCTGGAGTAGGAAAGAGAGAGGGCCTGGGACTGCAGCTTGTGAGCAATAAATGGATTTTGATTTTTATTTCTCCCTTTGACCGATTTCGATTTTTAGAGGTATTTTGCCCCAAGATTTCCTCTCCCCAGACTTATATTAATAAGTGATGTTTACTGGATATTAATACTTTGTTGTGGGTTCTATTAGCACCTAAATCTGGTGGATTTTGAGGAGCAAAGAATCAAAGTAAGTGACTATATAAAGCTACATACGGCACATTGACTTAGCTGGATTCAAACCTCTTAAGTTCCTTGAAGTTCTAGTGTGAGACACTGCTTAAATGAAAACCCATTTCTCTTTTTAAAATGGGAGGAACTAAGAGTGAAAAAAATTGAATACACAGCTTAGAAATTTAAAGGAATTTCCAATAAGCATCACAAAGCTGAATTTCACTAAGTATAAAAATTAAAATACAATTTAAGGAAACAATTCAAAATAGATTTAAGGAAAATATACTTTGCATCCTTTCCTTAATAAAAATAAATTGTAACATTAAATGGCCACAAACTTGCAAACATGGGTGTGTAAAAAGAGAATTTATAAAGAGAAAAGCAGCACTGTTAAAGGATTGTTAGCTTTTATTCTAAAATACTGTTTTACTTAGGGAGTTTCTGCTCAAAATGGAAACTCTGCAAGCACCATGGTTCTCAAATAATGACCTTTAGCTTGGCACAGAAACACGAGCAGGAGAAATTAACATTACATTAGGTCTGCCTCTACTATGTTAATTTTAGTTGTCATTTTCATGTGAACTATTTAATTTTAGAAATCATGTAGCAACAAATGGGTATAATTTTCAACTGCACCAACCAACATATGATAAGTTTATAGTAAATACAGTATATCAGAATTGGGCCATTTTGTCTTGTGAGGAATAAAAAAACAATAAAAAATAAAAGTGTATTTCACAGCTTTGGAAATGACAATTTCTATAAAAAACATAATAGAAAAAGGCATGTTGTATACAAGCCACTGTAGCACTCAGGAGAAAAAATAAGGTCTTTCACAACTGACAGTTTCTTATAAGGACAAATTGTCACTTGAGAAATAGTTCAAAGAACACAATGCCAATATCTAAAAGCAATATATGTATATACTTTTACCCAGTATCAGAAAAAGAAATACAAAGAAAACTACCAAATTTGATGTAAAGCTAAGCAATTAGCAATGTTAAGGTACATAATAATAATAGTCAAGCATTAATCATTGTTAATTTGGCTACTGAGCAATATTTTCACTGTATGAGTAAAGCTTTTGAATGTAAGTTGTATTCTGTAGTTATCATTTTTTAAAATTAGGAGGCAAGTTACATTTCGCTTTCACTAGCATTTTTTGCCACTGAAATTAAAATATTACCTTGTATTTACTAATAGAAAGCTACAATTGTCAGTTACTGTGTCTCATCGTAAAATTAAGAGTACCAAGCAAACTCATTCTGTGCTCTGACTGGAAACAGCTTCCTACCGGTTTGATGTCACGGTGCAAGAATCCCACGGAATGGATGCTTTCAATAGACTCCAGAATCTGTTTACCCAACCGAAGAGTAGTGCTAATAGTGAATGTGCCCCGGTTCTGGCTACGACGTAGGTCTGCCAGATTCCGACCCTGTAGAAACAAAATAAACACTTTCACATATGGTACTAAAACTACACTACAAGAGAAGATTGGGGAATTGCTTTTACTGTTAAAAAATGTTCTGACTGAAATTGCAAGAATTTTACCCAAATCATGATCCTCTTACTTAAGAGATTCTCTTAAGATAATGCACAAATGTTTCAGATGAATTTAACAATAACCAAAGGTTTTAAACATACAATGTTTCTGAGTCATTGTCTCCCTTTGTCTCTGATGTTATTCAAAATACAGATCTGGTTATTTCAAAAGATATAAAATACAAGTACCCAGAGCAGTAATTCCTCAATATCTGCCTAACATATTGCCACACAAACTTTTTTCTTCTGTGTCAGTTTCCCTATAAAATGGGGCCCATAACACCTACCTTACAGTATTTTGATAGGATTAAACAAGATTCATGTAAAGTGGTTGTGGAGCATTGTCTGCTGCAGAGCGGGTAATATGCTAACTTCTTACGAACAAAAATGAAAAATGGTATGAAACAAATATGCTAATGGTATGAAAATATGCTAAATGTTATGAAAAATGGTATGAAAATATGCTAACTTGTTACAAACAAAAATGAAAAATGGTATGAAACAAATTACTTACATCAGTAAATGAAAGCAATTGATGTCATCTAACCTGGCCAGATGTATTATTATATTCATGATTGCATTTAATCCTCACAGTACCCTAAAACAGAAGTTGTTATTCCTACTTTACAGATGAGGAAACTGAGGCTCAGAGAGTTTAAGTAACATTAACCTGTTAAAGTTGTTTTTACAATCTAAGTCTGACCCCAAAGTACAGTTTCCACCTCACAGTACCTCTACTCAGAAAGTTCCTTGTAGCCTAGGTAACAAACTAGGAATCTGATGAGAGGAAGCTGCAATTCTACCTCCCTAAGAATGGAAATTGGCTCCTATATCACAAGGGGATTTAAATATTCCATTATCTCTATTCCAAAACTTTGTAGTGTATGTTTGGGATTAACACCACTATACCATCACCTCAACTAAAAAGAGTTGATTCACCTTTGTAAAAATGATATACTCTTAAATTAAATACCATTTAAAATATAATATTAAATAGTACTCAAGGAATCTAAGAACTGAAAGATTCCAGGAAAGTCAGTAACCTTTCATACTTCATATTTTCTTTAAAAATGCAGCTTTGCCACGGCATAAATTGGTAGTTATTTTAATTATTATTTTTTAATGTTAGGTGAATTAATTGTTCTTTACATTCTCAGCAAATGTAAAATAAGTGATAACCTTGAGCAAATTTTATAAACCTGAGAGTACCTAATAATTTTTATCAGCATTCCAACAATTATTTCTTCAAAATTCAGTATTTTGATTGACAAATAAATACCTAAGATAGTACTGAACCTTTGTTTGTAAACAACTTCCACCATCATAAAAGCGTTTGAAAGGAAATTAATTAGATTTATGATACCAGCAATGATTTAAAAATTTTTAATCTTCTAAAATGTAACTCTAAGGTATCAGTTAACTAAATTCAAGAAGATAAATACAGGGCTGGAAAGATTATAAGGAAAAGTTACTAACAGGTAAATATACACAGGTTTGATCCACTAAGTTATACCTCAGAGTATTAACTACAAATGGTTTGTTATAGAGAAAACTGAAAACGAATGATATGTCCATCAATAAACAAATGGAAAAATAAATTATGATATAGTCATCTTACTGATATGCAGCCACTAAAAAAAAAGAACCTTTATACAGAGTAATTTGGAATAAACATTATTAAATAAAAAAAGCAAATTCATTTCTCCCTAAGTAATGCTATAAATTTAACATGATCCCAATAAAAATGTAAATAGATTTTATTACTAAAAATTTGAAACATCTTTAAAAGGAGAAAATAACATAACGAACTCTCATATACCTACGCATCACCAAGATTTAACAATTATCAATTCACGGCCAATATTGTTTCACCTGTTACCCACTACCCCTCCAGAAACACATACCTTTCTCCCTTTCCACTCATATATGCTGGATTATTTTCGTGTAAATCCCAACCATATCATTTCATTTACAATTATTAAAAAGTGCAGAGAGCAAAGAGATGAAAATAGAGAATCAAAGAAGTCATCAGCAATTTTATTATTACAAATTTGAATGGGAAATATCAGTATAAATCATGACATATTTTCTCTTTTAAAAAATGTGTATCCCCCACATATGCAGGAGGCGGAGCCAAGATGGCAGCGTGACTAGAACAGCAGAAATCTCCTCCCAAAACCACATATATCTATGAAAATATAACAAAGACAACTCTTCCTAAAATAGAGACCAGAGGACACAGGACAGCATCCAGACCACATCCATACCTGAGAGAACCCAGCGCCTCGTGAAGGGGGTAAGATACAAGCCCTAGCCCGGCAGGACCGGAGCGCCCCTCCCCCCGGCGGGAGGGGAGGAGTCAGCAGGGAGGGAGGAGCCCAGGACTGCGGAACACCCAGCTCCAGGATTCCAGACCAGAGCGCGCACACAGTGCATGCGTGGGGTCCTGGATACTAGGGAAACAGGGTGGCAGGACCAGTGAGCGGTTCCCTGAGGCTGATGCCGGAGAACAAAGGAAAGGGAGTGGCCACTGGTTTTTTGGGTTTTTTTTGGCAAGTGCTTTTTGGAAGTCTTAAAGGGACAGGGACCCCAATACTAGGGAAAAAGGGAAGCAAGACCGGTAAGCGGGTGCCTGAGACCGGCACCTGAGGACAAAGAAAATTGTGCCTTTTTCTTTTTTTTAAAAAATTATTTATTTAATTTTTGTTGTTGTTGTTGCTGTTGTTGTTTTGGTTTGGAGAGTGCTTTTTGGAAGTTTTAAAGGGGCAGGGCAGGACACAGTCCAGAGGCAGGGAATCTCGGGTTCTCTAGGCACTCTAATCCACTGGGAAGCAGGGAGCAAAGAGGCCCCTTACAGAGATAAATAGCCTCCCGGCCGCTTCCCCTCCAATGGGGCTCCACCATTTTGGAGCAGGAGCCCCAGCCAGGCCACACCCACAGCAAGAGCGGAGATAAACTCCATAGCAGCTGGGCAGGAAGCAGAAGCCCTGTCTGCGTTCAGCGGCCCAGCACAAGCCACTAGAGGTTGCTGTTCTCACAGGAGAGGAAGGCCATAAACCAACAACAAGGAAAGCTCTTCCAGCTGTCACTTGTACCAGATCTGCAAACTATCTCTTTCACCACGAAAAGGCAAAACTACAGGCAGACAAAGATCACAGAGTCAACACCTGAGAAGGAGACAGACCTAACCAGTCTTCCTGAAAGAGAATTTAAAATAAAAATCATAAACATACTGACAGAGATGCAGAGAAATATGCAAGAGCTAAGGGATGAAGTCCAGAGGGAGATCACAGATGTCAGGAAGGAGATCACAGAAGTGAAACAAAACCTGGAAGGATTTATAAGCAGAATGGATAAGATGCAAGAGGCCATTGAAGGAATAGAAACCACAGAACAGGAATGTATAGAAGCTGAGATAGAGAGAGATAAAAGGATCTCCAGGAACGAAACAATACTAAGATAACTATGTGACCAATCCAAAAGGAACAATATCCATATTATAGGGGTACCAGAAGAAGAAGAGAGAGGAAAAGGGATACAAAGTCTCTTTGAAGAAATAATTGCTGAAAACTTCCCCAAACTGGGGGAGGAAATAATCGAACAGACCACGGAAACACACAGAACCCCCAACAGAAAGAATCCAAGGAGGACAACACCAAGACACATAATAATTAAAATGGCAAGAATCAAGGACAAGGAAAGAGTTTCAAAGGCAGCTAGAGAGAAAAAGGTCACCTATAAAGGAAAACCCATCATGCTAACATCACACTTCTCGACAGAAACCCTACAGGCCAGAAGAGAATGGCATGATATATTTAATGCAATGAAACAGAAGGGCCTTGAACCAAGGATACTGTATCCAGCACGACTATCATTTAAATATGATGGTGGGATTAAACAATTCCCAGACAAGCAAAAGCTGAGGGAATTTGCTTCCCACAAACCACCTCTACAGGGCATCCTACAGGGACTGCTCTAGATGGGAGCACCCCTAAAAAGAGCACAGAACAAAACACACAACATATGAAGAATGGAGGAGGAGGAATAAGAAGGGAGAGAAGAAAAGACTCTCCAGACAGTGTATATAACAGCTCAATAAGCGAGCTAAGTTAGGCAGTAAGATACTAAAGAAGCTAACCTTGAACCTTTGGTAACCACGAATCTAAAGCCTGCAATGGCAATAAGTACATATCTCTCAATAGTCACCCTAAATGTAAATGGACTTAATGCACCAATCAAAAGACACAGAGTAATAGAATGGATAAAAAAGCAAGACCCATCTATATGCTGCTTACAAGAAACTCACCTTAAACCCAAAGATAAGCATAGACTAAAAGTCAAGGGATGGAAAAACATATTTCAGGCAAACAACAGTGAGAAGAAAGCAGGGGTTGCAGTACTAATATCAGACAAAATAGACTTCAAAACAAAGAAAGTAACAAGAGATAAAGAAGGCCACTACATAATGATAAAGGGCTCAGTCCAACAAGAGGATATAACCATTCTAAATATATATGCACCCAATACAGGAGCACCAGCATATGTGAAGCAAATACTAACAGAACTAAAGAGGGAAATAGACTGCAATGCATTCATTGTAGGAGACTTCAACACACCACTCACCCCAAAGGATAGATCCACCGGGCAGAAAATAAGTAAAGACACACAGGCACTGAACAACACACTAGAACAGATGGACCTAATAGACATCTATAGAACTTTACATCCAAAAGCAACAGGATATACATTCTTCTCAAGTGCACATGGAACATTCTCCAGAATAGACCACATACTAGCTCACAAAAAGAGCCTCAGTAAATTCCACAATATTGAAATTCTACCAACCAATTTTTCAGACCACAAAGGTATGAAAGTAGAAATAAATTCTACAAA